GTGTGTGTGTGTCTGTCTCTGTGTGGCAAATGCCACGTTGATCGAGGACCGAGAGAGACAGCATAGAAACCAAAGAAGCAGAAATCGACGGAAACGAAACAAAAGCGAAGGGGGGTATACTGACCTTCCGTCGTGGTGGCGCTTGGTCCGGAAGCCTCCATGCAAAATGCACAGTCCGATAGCCTCCCCCCTTCCAACCCCCTTCACGATTGAGAGATGGGCGTCCAACCTTCAAGATGCACAGCCCAACCTCCTGCACGTAAAAGAACTTAGCGACGAGAAATCTCCTCTTGAGCTTCACCCCCTGTCTTCGGGTGGATGGGAGTGTGCGTGCGAATGTGTGCTTATGAGGTGGGTGTGTTTATGTCTGTGTGTGTCCATCGCAGCAAACAGTAGGGCACAGTTCACCATAGACTTCGCGTGTATGTGTGCGTGTCCACCCCAGAGTATAGAAGCAACGGGAAACCGTAGCCTAGAGTACAGAAGCAAAAAGTCGAAATCGAACGTAGCAGAGAGTCGTAGAGCAGAGCCAGCGAAATCGACCGACTTGGGTAGCTTGGCCAGACTCGGAGTGTGAGAGCGGTCTTTTTCCAGTGCCGCCCTCCCAAAAATTTTGAAGACGCTCCTCCGCAAGATTGCCCGCGCGCGGCACCGGCACGACGTACACGCCTGAGAATTGGTCGCCCACAGCGCGCCGCTGCATCGCCCCTAAAATTGGCCGAGCCCGCCCGGCGGCCCCAAACCGATCAACACACCACCTGCCATCGTTTACAAAGCGAAAGCGATCGGGTCACAACGAACCAAAGGGCCCAGGATCGTGGGTTGGTCATAGGCCGCAAAACGGTAATTGTTCGCAGCCAGGGAGGCTGCGCCTTATCTGGTTGCACAGAGGCCTGGACCCCACTGCCCAGCGGCCTGGAAAAGTTTAGGCGATGTAGTGTTTTCCAGCCCACACAGGTGTTGGAAACCGGTGTGGAAAGTAGGCCCGGAAAGGAATTCCAGACGCCACGGTGCTCTGAAGCAGGTCGCGGAAATGCTGATGGGGCGTTTCTACTTGGTCGTCGGTCTGGAAATTCAATTCCAAGGAGGCGTCCAGACGAGTAGGGGGGGGGGCATGTCCATCCGTTTCCAGAAAACGGCTGGACGGCGTGGAACACGCACTGTCATCGTGGACCGTTTTTTGGACCGGGAGGCCGCCACGGACATGCTCTTGTTTTTTCGCCGTCGCACGGTTCCCCCAAGGGCCCAGGGGTCTGGGCCATCCCCTCACTTTAAAAACGGCATGCTGCAGCATTCAAAATTCGTATTTTTGGCGGGCTGAGGACGAAGGCCAGCCATGCAATCGCAACATTCATTTCCTGCGCGTGCATGGGGAGCATGAGCAGCGATTCCAATAGCTGGCCGTCGCCGACCCCTCCATTAAACCCTCCTGCCCTGCGTAGTCCGTGCATGATGCCATCGCTCATCTCCTTCGCGCGTGCAGGGCGCGAGGCCTGTCTACGGGGAAGCCGTTTCGGGTGGCGTCGTCAGGCGGTCTCTGGCCGGGGCTTGCATTCGGAAGCTGCGGGTTGTGTGGCGAGCAGCGTGTGTGGAATGTGCGGACGAGAACCTGCGCTGCCGGTGTGCACGCGTGCACACACGTACAGACCGATGTTGTTCTCCCGTGTTGTGGTCGTGACACATTCCGTGCTCCGTCGTCTACCTCCCTTGCCATCCTCACTTCTTCGTCTACCTCGCCAGGGCGCTCATTTGTCCTCGCCAAAGAGCAACCGCAACACATGTGGGCAGGGATGGGCTGCACATGAGGGTGTGGTTATAAATCCTCCTCCACACACTCGCCGCGTGTCAGTCGTCGAACGCTATCGTCACCTGTGTGGATGTGACCGGTGCCATCAAAGTTGTTGTGTGGATGTTGTCATTAACAACCACTGCAGCGGAGGCTGGCGATGAAAAAAACCATCTTGGGCTGTTTTCGTAGGTGTGGTTGCGGTCGTCATCATCCTTTCGACGACTTTCTTCTTGTCGGTCGTCTTTTGGTGTGTGATCCTATACTTCTGTTGTCGTGGGTGGAGATAGCACTGAAG